ATGGATGGACAGGCAGAGGGACAGACAGAGGGACACGGATGGACATAGGGACGTAAAGGGACATGGATGGACAGGCAGAGGGACAGACAGAGGGACACGGATGGACATAGGGACGTAAAGGGACATGGATGGACAGGCAGAGGGACAGACAGAGGGACACGGATGGACATAGGGACGTAAAGGGACATGGATGGACAGGCAGAGGGACAGACAGAGGGACACGGATGGACATAGGGACGTAAAGGGACATGGATGGACAGGCAGAGGGACAGACAGAGGGACACGGATGGACATAGGGACGTAAAGGGACATGGATGGACAGGCAGAGGGACAGACAGAGGGACACGGATGGACATAGGGACGTAAAGGGACATGGATGGACAGGCAGAGGGACAGACAGAGGGACACGGATGGACATAGGGACGTAAAGGGACATGGATGGACAGGCAGAGGGACAGACAGAGGGACACGGATGGACATAGGGACGTAAAGGGACATGGATGGACAGGCAGAGGGACAGACAGAGGGACACGGATGGACATAGGGACGTAAAGGGACATGGATGGACAGGCAGAGGGACAGACAGAGGGACACGGATGGACATAGGGACGTAAAGGGACATGGATGGACAGGCAGAGGGACAGACAGAGGGACACGGATGGACATAGGGACGTAAAGGGACATGGATGGACAGGCAGAGGGACAGACAGAGGGACACGGATGGACATAGGGACGTAAAGGGACATGGATGGACAGGCAGAGGGACAGACAGAGGGACACGGATGGACATAGGGACGTAAAGGGACATGGATGGACAGGCAGAGGGACAGACAGAGGGACACGGATGGACATAGGGACGTAAAGGGACATGGATGGACAGGCAGAGGGACAGACAGAGGGACACGGATGGACATAGGGACGTAAAGGGACATGGATGGACAGGCAGAGGGACAGACAGAGGGACACGGATGGACATAGGGACGTAAAGGGACATGGATGGACAGGCAGAGGGACAGACAGAGGGACACGGATGGACATAGGGACGTAAAGGGACATGGATGGACAGGCAGAGGGACAGACAGAGGGACACGGATGGACATAGGGACGTAAAGGGACATGGATGGACAGGCAGAGGGACAGACAGAGGGACACGGATGGACATAGGGACGTAAAGGGACATGGATGGACAGGCAGAGGGACAGACAGAGGGACACGGATGGACATAGGGACGTAAAGGGACATGGATGGACAGGCAGAGGGACAGACAGAGGGACACGGATGGACATAGGGACGTAAAGGGACATGGATGGACAGGCAGAGGGACAGACAGAGGGACACGGATGGACATAGGGACGTAAAGGGACATGGATGGACAGGCAGAGGGACAGACAGAGGGACACGGATGGACATAGGGACGTAAAGGGACATGGATGGACAGGCAGAGGGACAGACAGAGGGACACGGATGGACATAGGGACGTAAAGGGACATGGATGGACAGGCAGAGGGACAGACAGAGGGACACGGATGGACATAGGGACGTAAAGGGACATGGATGGACAGGCAGAGGGACAGACAGAGGGACACGGATGGACATAGGGACGTAAAGGGACATGGATGGACAGGCAGAGGGACAGACAGAGGGACACGGATGGACATAGGGACGTAAAGGGACATGGATGGACAGGCAGAGGGACAGACAGAGGGACACGGATGGACATAGGGACGTAAAGGGACATGGATGGACAGGCAGAGGGACAGACAGAGGGACACGGATGGACATAGGGACGTAAAGGGACATGGATGGACAGGCAGAGGGACAGACAGAGGGACACGGATGGACATAGGGACGTAAAGGGACATGGATGGACAGGCAGAGGGACAGACAGAGGGACACGGATGGACATAGGGACGTAAAGGGACATGGATGGACAGGCAGAGGGACAGACAGAGGGACACGGATGGACATAGGGACGTAAAGGGACATGGATGGACAGGCAGAGGGACAGACAGAGGGACACGGATGGACATAGGGACGTAAAGGGACATGGATGGACAGGCAGAGGGACAGACAGAGGGACACGGATGGACATAGGGACGTAAAGGGACATGGATGGACAGGCAGAGGGACAGACAGAGGGACACGGATGGACATAGGGACGTAAAGGGACATGGATGGACAGGCAGAGGGACAGACAGAGGGACACGGATGGACATAGGGACGTAAAGGGACATGGATGGACAGGCAGAGGGACAGACAGAGGGACACGGATGGACATAGGGACGTAAAGGGACATGGATGGACAGGCAGAGGGACAGACAGAGGGACACGGATGGACATAGGGACGTAAAGGGACATGGATGGACAGGCAGAGGGACAGACAGAGGGACACGGATGGACATAGGGACGTAAAGGGACATGGATGGACAGGCAGAGGGACAGACAGAGGGACACGGATGGACATAGGGACGTAAAGGGACATGGATGGACAGGCAGAGGGACAGACAGAGGGACACGGATGGACATAGGGACGTAAAGGGACATGGATGGACAGGCAGAGGGACAGACAGAGGGACACGGATGGACATAGGGACGTAAAGGGACATGGATGGACAGGCAGAGGGACAGACAGAGGGACACGGATGGACATAGGGACGTAAAGGGACATGGATGGACAGGCAGAGGGACAGACAGAGGGACACGGATGGACATAGGGACGTAAAGGGACATGGATGGACAGGCAGAGGGACAGACAGAGGGACACGGATGGACATAGGGACGTAAAGGGACATGGATGGACAGGCAGAGGGACAGACAGAGGGACACGGATGGACATAGGGACGTAAAGGGACATGGATGGACAGGCAGAGGGACAGACAGAGGGACACGGATGGACATAGGGACGTAAAGGGACATGGATGGACAGGCAGAGGGACAGACAGAGGGACACGGATGGACATAGGGACGTAAAGGGACATGGATGGACAGGCAGAGGGACAGACAGAGGGACACGGATGGACATAGGGACGTAAAGGGACATGGATGGACAGGCAGAGGGACAGACAGAGGGACACGGATGGACATAGGGACGTAAAGGGACATGGATGGACAGGCAGAGGGACAGACAGAGGGACACGGATGGACATAGGGACGTAAAGGGACATGGATGGACAGGCAGAGGGACAGACAGAGGGACACGGATGGACATAGGGACGTAAAGGGACATGGATGGACAGGCAGAGGGACAGACAGAGGGACACGGATGGACATAGGGACGTAAAGGGACATGGATGGACAGGCAGAGGGACAGACAGAGGGACACGGATGGACATAGGGACGTAAAGGGACATGGATGGACAGGCAGAGGGACAGACAGAGGGACACGGATGGACATAGGGACGTAAAGGGACATGGATGGACAGGCAGAGGGACAGACAGAGGGACACGGATGGACATAGGGACGTAAAGGGACATGGATGGACAGGCAGAGGGACAGACAGAGGGACACGGATGGACATAGGGACGTAAAGGGACATGGATGGACAGGCAGAGGGACAGACAGAGGGACACGGATGGACATAGGGACGTAAAGGGACATGGATGGACAGGCAGAGGGACAGACAGAGGGACACGGATGACGTGGGGACACAGAGAGGGACATAAAGGGACATGGATGATGTGGGGACACAGGGATGGGGAGGGACACGGGGACATAAAGGGACATGGATGGACATGGGGACAGACATAGGGACGTGGAGGGTCACGCAGAGGGACAGACAGAAGGACACAGATGGACACAGGGACAGATATGGGGACACAGAGGGACCCAGATGACGTGGGGACACGTGCAGGGATACAGGGACATAAAGGGACACAGACACGAGGGCATGCAGAGGGGCAGACATGGGGACATGGAGACAGACACGGGGACAGACAGAAGGACACAGATGGACATGGGGACACGCCGAGGGACACAGACTGACAGGGGGACGCATGGGGACACGCACGGACACACAGAGGGACATGGATGGACATGGGGACAGACAGACAAGCGGGGACACGGACCCCAGGATGCGCATGGGATGGGGGACACACGGACAGAGGGACACGGGGGGGACAGAGGGACACGGGGGGGACAGAGGGACACGGGGGGGACAGCCCTGCCACACGGCTGCACC